GTGTGGCAATTTTTATAAAATTCTGTAACTGAATGCTGCTGCTACATTAACAGTATCTGGGAAATAAATGTGTCTTTGTTTGTAAATACACCATATATTGTTTGAATAAAGGCAAGTTTAAATCAAATTAAATCAATTTGGAACACTACAGAGAAGAACATGGTATACAGCCTGCCCTAACTTGATGCAGGAGAATAATTTAGTGCTTTACATGTGGTATAGTGTTAATTGTGAAATGAAAAATAAGTTTTGTTACATTAATAACATAATAAGAGCTCAAAAGGCTGCGATGGCAGCGGGTTGGGGTGGGGGGGTTACGGAGCTGGGGGGGGGGCGGGGTTTGTGGTTCCCTGGTGGGCTTCTAGAACCGCAATACAAGAACATGGACCACTGTATTGAGGTTTCAGTCTTGGTTTCAGAATCATTACACCCCTATAACTACAACAGGTCATAATGAGTCGAGGTTTGGAAATATTTAATCAAACACAAGTACAAAATCAATACTTATACATAACTATATTATATGTTGTTGTATTTGTTCTAATATTAGCCAGATCTAATATTTGTTCTAATATAATACCAGATAAATATGATTTAAGTCAAATTTTCTTATATGCCTACACCTTTTCCAGTGTTGTATATCAAAATGGGTAGTATACCTGTGCATGACTCATTGAATGAATCAGCCTCTGACTTTCATTGTAGCACTTTATCTAATTAGCTTCCCATTCAAATAACATATTTTTTTTGTTTAAACTAAAATGCCAGATTGGCCCTCTAAAAAGCAAATAACGTTATTTACACCGAGCAGGCATAACATTATGACCACCTCCTTGTTTCTACGCTCACTGTCCATTTTATCAGCTCCACTTACTATATAGGTGCACTTTGTAGTTCTACAATTACAGACTGTAGTCCATCTGTTTCTCTGCATACTTTGTTAGTCCCCTTTTACCCTGTTCTTCAGTGGTCAGGACCCCCATGGACCCTCACAGAGCAGTGACACTGACATGGTGGTGGTGTGTTAGTGTGTGTTGTGCTGGTCTGAGTGTATCAGACACAGCAGTGCTGCTGTCCACTCACTGTCCACTGTATTAGACGCACCTGTGTTGTTGGTCCACCCTGTAGATGTAAAGCCAGAGATGATAGCTCATCTCTTGCTGTACAGTATGAGCTAATCATCCTCTAGTCCTTCATTGATGGTCACAGGATGCTGCCCACAGGACGCTGTTGGCTGGATATTTTTGATTGGTGGACTATTCTCAGTCCAGCAGTGACACTGAGGTGTTTAAAAAATTCCAGCAGCACTGCTGTGTCTGATCCACTCAGACCAGCCCAACACACACTAACACACCACCACCACGTCAGTGTTACTGCAGTGCTGAGAATGATCCACCACCCAAATAGTACCTGCTCTGGGAGGGTTCATGGGGGTCCTGACCACTGAAGAACAGGGTAAAAGGGGGCTATAATGTTATGCCTGATCAGTGTATATTGCAGCTATTAGAAAGTTCTGGAAATGTGTTCCACTTCAGGTTTTTTAAAAAAGCCAAAGAAATCAGTCGATTTTGCTGTAAAGAAATCAGAACCAGAATCCATGCTTGGTGGAATCCAAGCTTTTAAGACGTTCTAGAGCATCTGTGTGTGTTTAAGCTAGAGTGAGTGTGAACGACTACACAGATGGAGATGAATGGGAGTCAGCTCTCCCTGCTGCACATGATGGAGTGCTGGGACTGGGAGATGCCACCCTCCACTCTAATGACTGCTGTGAACTAAAACTTATTTAACCATAGACGACACTAATGGCTTCACTCTCATGGCTTCAGTTAATGAAATGTAAAACAATGGAGTCTTTATCTCCCCTAACGCAACTGATAAGACGATGACCTGTGGCCAGGCTCTGTAACACGCTTCTATGCAAATCCTTCCTCACTGTAAAAATATCGCCATTTGTACCAAGCCATGGACAAAGAGGTCTAACACCGAATGGGGGTCATTTAAAAGAGCGCTATACTATTCTTAGCTCATCCACGAGCGCAGAGATGACTAATCGTCCGGGTTACAACACCCATATCCATCATCATCATTCACCAGCAAGGCGGCGATAAGGCCTGTAAACCCACTTGTAGGTCATACGTCCGTGTCCAGATTTATTCCTCCATTCGTACAGCAGGGCTCTGCATAAATGAAAGTCATTGTTACGCAGGGAAAACAGCCTAACACGTATATTACCCGCCATTAGGGGCTAAATGACAGCGATTCCAGGTAGATCGCTCCTCCAAGAAACAAGGAGGCGGTGCTTTTATTACCAGCACCGTTACAGTATTTCATCTGTGAATGTTTAGTCGTTTGGTTTCATTTAAATGTAAATTTGAGCAGAGAGCCTCAGCGCATGGCCGCCGCGCTCGCAGACCAGAGCGGATGATGGATTCTCTTATGGGTCTGGAAACAACGCAGCCTCCTTGCTGAAAGCACCCAGTTCGACCTTCGCCAGCTCCTTCTTCCCAATATCACCATCTTAAATATTGACAGTAGTGGAAACTACACAATTTCCATGCTTAAATTTGCCCATCATTTTTCAGTCAGGGGGAAAAAAACATCATAAACCTACACCTACACTGCAGTGATGGTAAGATGTCCTTGAGGAAGTGTTGTTTTTTTGTCTCAAGTATGTAAGAGTATCAATGGAAAGTGAACTAAAAACCTTGTTATAAAACAGTCAGAAAATCTGACTGGCTGAGCTGTGCTGAGCACCAACTGAATTCTGTATTATAATGTGTCTTCACGTTCTTCGCATGGACTACTGGCATCAGTACTAAACAGCCTACATAAGAACTCCTTAACAACTCGAACTCGGCTGATCAATTAGGCAGGCAAACAGACTCCTTTATTAAAATTCTTCGTTATGCTTTGAACTGAACTATTTACTAAAGGATTTGCTGTAAAACTAACATACAAAGTAAAGAATGTGTTACTTAAATGTCCTAAAAGCTTCAAATGTCTGTGTTTTTGGTAGATGTAGATAAGCAGTTTGGGAAAAATGAATGTTTAGCATGTGGAAATCACACAGAATATCATGCATAAATTAAGCATTATTTCAGAGGTGGTAACTTGATAAAGTTTCTGTATTAAACAATGACAAAAATGTAAAAAAATGAAATTAAATCACTGTGATATATATGATCGGTGGCTGAAAGTCCTCATTCAGTGATCCATGGCTGCTTGTCAACAATATCATACTCTGAACTACACTTCTTGGCGTAAAGATTGTTTATTGTGATTTCTATTCATAATAATTTGAATTCTTTTAAGGACCATCTGTGTATCATGATACTGCAAGTTGTTGCCACCTTTTGACTGGCTTATTGTTTTAATAAGGGACATGTAAAGTGAGGGTAAACAGGACAAGATGCTAATCAGAAGTGCTGGACTGTGCTACAATTACTCGTCTTCCCTAAAGTCAGATTTAGCCACTTATACAGGCTTGTTATGCTAAAAAGTGGAGCATTTAGCCTTAGGCAGAGCAGAGCAGGTCAAAGTCAGAGTTTAGGCCTAATATACTTCTATGTCTGTAATGCAGACGGTCAAGAAACTTATATTACCACCTCCTGGAAACATTCATGGCTACATGCAAGTGAGCCTAGTGGTCCACTGTTGATTGTTCTGTTCAGGCCAAGGCTGAGCCAGGCAACCTGTCCATCTATTACTCAACTCACAGATTCACCTACAGCAGTATAAAGGCTATCCATTGCGTGCCAAAAGGAGGTGAAGTGGGGGGCCTGGGATTGTAAAGAAGCCTTTTAAAGTTTCCCCAGGGCCCCACCAGGCTCACTGCTCGCTAAAAGCAGCGTGTCCATGGAGTGGACATCTCGGTTGCGTGAGCCCTCGCATGAGTTGCATGCCGGGTAAAGAGGCCACACTTAAATGGTGGCGTCTGGAGGGTACAGCACAGCATTGGAGCAGCCAGCCTTGCTGCTCTGGACGAAGCAGAGCTTTGGTAATGATGCTTCAGATGTTTTACTCCAAGTAGCAGCGTGTGGTGCACGCTGAGTAAAAAGGAAACCGCTGTAGTGGAACAGCTGCAAAGGCTGCAATCCATCCAGTGCATGCACGCAGTGACAAAATATCAAAGACAGAAGGACCGGGTCAACGTCCATGGTAATTGTGCACCGTCCAGGAGAGCTAATTAAAAAAATGCCTTTGGGCTTTGCATACTGAGTGAGGCTGGCCAGGAGGAGACGTACCATGAGAAACAGTCCAGCTCCAACTCTTGTTTGCTTTGCAACAAAAGCTGCACGCAGAACTTTATTTCTAGAAGCATCAATGGAAAAAGAGCACAGCTGGGGCTCTGGCACCAGTGGTCCCGAGACCATGAGGAGGGCAGGACGCTGATTCATCATACAATGAAGCCCCTTTACGCATTGCTGTGGATGGAGCAACCCTGGTGGGAGTGATTCCACCGCATTGGTCGCCTGTTGCATCTATCTATGGGAATTTGAGATTATTACGACAGTGATGTTCAGGTGGGAGCTTAATCACTCTTGCTTTCAAAGGGACGTGTGAATAACGTTTATAGAGGGTTAGACTGGATATTCAGTCATTTCAGTGTATTTTGGAAGTGACTAGTTAACGGACGACGATTCGAATTTTCCGTTCCACCTTAAACGGCGCAGCAGTTACGTTCTGGCGAACGTACAAGCAGAATGGAACTGATTCGTTATTTAAGGTGGACCGGAAAATTAGAATTAGAAGCTGGCGAATTGAAAAAAAAGCTTAACTTCAGTCTTGTTCGTGGACCAAAACTACCAACACAGACTCCATATCTACAAACTAGAGTGCAAACTTGCCTCAGTTCTCACTCTTCTGTGGCGAACCGGAGCTCCCAGTAAGCTGAAACCCGTCCAAAACGACGGCTCAGCTGACAAACCCTGGCAGTCGTGGCCATTTCTGTTAGTAAATGTTGTTAAATGCGTTATTTACTGTTAAAACTCTGTTCTTACCTCGGCCGCTGGCACATCCGGTGCTGAGGAGGAGAACCAGGACGAGGTCCAAACAGCAGCAGCAGCGTCCGTTAGTCGGAGTTAACCTCAGCATTTCGGCGTTCTGTACCTCACGCGCGTTCGCCGTGAACCATTCCTGTTTATTTATCTTCTTCGGGCGGTTAAGAAACGGTCTCCAAAAGCGGGTCTCTCTTCTGCAGTCCGGCTTCGCAGACTGGAGCCGCGACTGTCGCCGACATCTCTTCACTTCGCAACTTCAGTCTCCTCAGAAGTACGTTAGAAACTGCGCTCTCGTCCCGGTTAGACTGCCTCGCTTTCCAGCCCTCCGTTACTTTCAAATGTCACGCGTTCGCGAGCCCAGTCCAGCCAATCGTGGATCGAGGTGGGCGGGGCGTGAGGGAGGCTGTAGCTGAGGCAGCCAATGGCGCGCCGCGGTGGGCGGGGCGATGGGCGACCGTTACAGCCTGACTCGTGTGTGTGGTGTGCAACAGAGATGGAAAGTTCGATTCGGTTTGCCGAACCGACTCTTTCAAACTGTCCGATTAAACGATTCACTGAATCGCAACTTTGGGCTCATCTCTTTGGATTCAACGAGTCGGTCTGATTTGTGCTACTTAAAGGGACATTCCACCGATTTTCCCAAAATTCTACATAATTAAATTGTTGCGATGTGAACAGGGTCATTCAGGGTGGTTTGGTGTGAAACGCTCTGTTCTAGAGAAACATGCAGAGTCAGAATTGTTCTCAACGGTGGTGATAGGAACCAGACGTCCACCTTTAAAAGCTGCCTCACAGAAAGTTATTACATAAAATGGTTATAAATATGCGGACTGATGTGTGACACGTTGTTTTATGATAGTTTTATGATCAAGTTTAGGCTTAAAACGTGTTTAAATCTATTTATTTTAATCTATTCATGGCGGAGGGATACATGCAGGGTGTTGAAAGGCAAAATAGTCCCCTAAGAATAGTTCTTTTTTTTTCAGATTCATGATTATTTCACCATCATAAACATTACATATAAAACTCAGAAGACACATGTAGGTTCACTGGTGGTTTTAGATAGTGAATAAACTGGCTTTATTATATTTATTGTATATATAATACTGGCTTTGTGTTGTAGATGGTGACTCCTGGTTCCTATCACCACCACTGTAAAGAGATCTGAGTCTCTACAATCAACCATTTCACACCAAACCGCTCTGAATGACTCTGTTTACATCTCAAACACTGAATTATTGTGAAAATTTGAAAAAATTGGTGGAATTCCCCCTTAACTCCCTCTTAAACAAACTAAAAGCTAAGGTTAGCAAGGTGGCTACCTGGTTATATACCTTACCATTTGCAGCTAGGCTAGCAGTCAGAATTGTTTGGCACCACAGGGATTCCCAATGTTTGTATGATGTATTTGACTAATGAATGCTGGGTATTGTAGTGAGAGAACAGAATGAAAACATTGAAATCATAGAAAATTGTGAACTGTGTCAAACTGATGAAGCTGGGGGATACAATTCTGCGCTAAAGAATATTACATAAAATGCCAAATAACATATTAAACTCCAAATGTAAGCTGGAATGCAAATTAAAATGATTTCAAAGATCTTAATATGGTACAGTGTGTTCTTCCTCTTTGATTTTATGAGCTCACATAAATGAATATCATTTGAAAAGTTTGATTTACTTAGAATCGATTCGACCTGTTCACTGAATCATAGCTTATGCTAACAGCTCAGAATGGTGAGCTATATCCTCAGCTCTACTGCTACATGATTGAGAAGCCATTCATTTTCATTGTACGTGGTTTATGAGAGCTAACAAAGGTCATATATGTGAAGCACATTCTCTAAACTCGATGACTTTTGTCCTGTGTACATATTTCCCCCTGAGTGTCACTGCATTCTCTGAATTACAAGGTTGTTTAGCAGTCAAAATACCAAAAATGCTACATCAGTGCCGCTAACAAGCTAACACTATTGTGCACTGAGATGACATTGCATGAAAGTAAGTCTACTATTTAACTTCAACACTTTTATATATCTATTATACAGCTACTCTAACTTTAGCCTACAATGGCCAAAGCAACTACCACATTTGACAACGTTTGGTGGTTATTGTGGGGTATTTTGTTGAGGTTGCCAGTTTGGTGGGCAACAGTGTTAGCTTGCATGTAATAATATTTGTAGTTTAATTCTTTAGTAACCTCATAATTCAGAGGATCTGGCAACATTCGGGGGGAAAAATGTACACACCGCAAAGCGTAGCAGCGATTTCTGAAAATGCTATTCATTTTTCTCATGCAGATAAACTGCTTAGACCTGGAGTTCCTTTATATGGGCATGATAGCGACTACAAAATGGGGTCATTCTACAGAAACGTCCACTTTTTTATCTATCCACAAGAGTCACGGGTGTTACTGATCATCATTGGTGTTCCACACAAGAAAGGTAACACCAGAGACATTTTTAATGAAAAAATGTATTTTACAAATTGGCTGCTACAGAGCATCAAACCACATGTTGTCAATCATGGAATATCCACTAAAATATGTAATTTAATCCATTTGTATTGTTTTTTCACAATTACCTCAGAATAAAGTTGGTCACACCAGTGACTTCAACTAAGAGCTTCATATGAAATCATGAGCTAAATGAGAAAATCTCTGATAACTGGAAAGACACAGTGGACTCACCATGTGCTTTTCTTCACAGATCCTGAGAAAATGGGTAAATGGAAATCAAATGATGTCATCATTGTGATTTTAATTTCAAAATAAGAGATTCTTTGTTACACAGTAACACCATTGACACGACTCCTGGGGACAACAACTTTCATTATATATTTTAGAATATTTATTTAGCATTTATTTTCTTCACGTCATTTAAATCATATATCTCATAGTCATGTATAGATTACTGCAGTTAAAATTGCAGAAAAACATGTTTTTTGCCTCAAAATATGGCCTCAGCCTTTACACATGAGTGTCAGGACAAGCACTTCTGTGGTGCTTGAAATTCTATATAATTGATTTAAAAAACAATGTTGCTAAATTGAGGCTCAAGAAGGTGTAATTGTTAAAATAACATTGTTTTATTTAAAAATATACATTTTGTAAGCCTGCCATGTTTTTTCAAGTGTAATGTATCTGTAAACACTAGGGACACAAAAACGGACGTTTGCATGTTGAATAAAAGTCCTTTTCCAAAACTTCCATCTATGGAAGCTATGCTTGCATTTTGAAGCAGAAAATGTTTTATGCAGAGTATTTTCTCCCATTATTTTCCATACAATACATCAGTGGGGCATGCAGACATGTAATATCCTGCAGTCCTATGATCTGTACTAAAGTAACATTTACCATAAGGTAATCATCTCTCCCTTCAGCTCAGACAGAGGCACTCAGCAGAAAAAAAAAAAAACAATTTCTCCTGCATATTCAACACACAATAAGGTGTGCCTGAGGAGGTAATATTACATTTTGGGAAAGCAATTCCAATAGTTAACATGACTAACCTTTCATAGAGGATGGCATTTAGGAACATAAGATTTCGCTGCAAACTCAATTATGCAAAGAAGAAATTTCGAGCATTGCTTTTTGTTTTGCTTTCATAGAGACTATAAAACAATTACTGGTCACAGAAAACCCATTCAGCGGCGGGAAAACAGGATTTTAAGCCTGATAAAGAAGGACGATTGTAAGTCCTTACATTGGATTATCAGCACATCTTCCACGCTTGACAGAGTCTGCAATTTATCTGATTTTACCTGGAACTTTCAGTGCAAGTTGGAAAAGCTCAGAAGCAGATGAAGTACATATATTCCAGTGGGGGACCCTCAGGGCCTTCTAGGCCTTCAGATAAGGCTTAATGATAATCTATGTCTGCAATTTTTAGTTCATTTTTTATTCAATAGAGTCCTACTCTAAGAGTTCTACTCTTGTTTCATTGTAAAGTTTCAGAAGGAAAAAATGGAGCAGAAAAATGGCCAATCAGGAATTGTTTTCTTTCTGTGTGGTATCTGGGTAGATATAGCTAAGGGAGCTCTCCTATTGTTTAGGACATCAGGAGCTGAAAAGAAGGCCTAACACGTTAGATTAAGCATCAGCATAATGATGAAGTCACAGAGGAATCGACCAATCACGTTTGGTTACCAGTGGGCGGGACCAATTTAATGAGGAAAAATTACTGGAAGTTCAAGATACATCAATCATATGCTTGTGAAAAATGGAAAACAGCGGCAGCACTATACCAGTCTATCTACTGAAAGAGTCAGTAGCCACGTTTGCACGCAGCCTGATAATGTTAATAATCCAACTAATAGCTCAATCAGAATACAATACGTTCATGTAAACACCTCAATCGGAATAGCCTAATCCAATTGAGGCCATTTGGAATACAGTTTCTATCTGACTGAGCGAGGTGGGTAATCCTGTTAATAATCCATTAAGTAGAAGACTAATAGCCGTGTAAATGCCTGTATCCGATTACATTCCCTATCAGAAAGTTTAAGTAACTTTAAGTTTTGAGTGTTTGCATCATAGTGAAAGTTTATAACGTTCAACATGGCGGAGCAGAAATTGTTCTGCAGAGGAGACGAAGTTTATGCTCTGATCTTTAAAAGACGGCGGTGGGATGGGCATCCAGCTTATGTGTCTCAGAACACGACGTCTTCCCCTCGCCCTTCTTTAATAAGGACATGTGAAGTACGTTTTCCTGAGTCTGACATCATTTTAAAGTAATTAAAAACACAAGCGCGCCAGCTGAAAACTCAGGTAGCTAACACAGTGAGTTTACATGCACTTTATAATCCAATCATAATCGGGTTTCTGCAGTTGTCTGATTATTCAAATGGTCATGTAAACAGCGGACTCTGAGTTGTAAGATCAGAGTAAGGTCTAGAAATCCGATTAAGAAATCCAATAAAGAGAGCTGGATTGTAGCTCAGTAATCAGATTTCTCAGTGCATGTAAACTCTTACTCTGATTTCTTTCGGATTTCTCAGTCTGCGCATGTGTGAAAACAGACAGCGGTAACAGAAATAAGCGAGCAGTGTCGCTGCAAGACACAGCAAAACACTTTCGGAGTGATGCTTGATGAAATGACGAAATGAAGGATTTCTATATTCTTCATCTTCTAGATGATGCATGTTCAAATTTTCGGGTAAAGTGGCAAGATATTAAAAAAAAGCCATGGCAAGTTTGAGTTTTACATTACATTTAATAATGTCTTATTCTGTGAGTTTATTGGTTGGTTGCAATGCAGAAATTTGATTATTTGACTCATGTAGACCCAG